CCCCAAAACCCCAAAACCCCAAAACCCCATCATCTAACCAATGAACAAAATTAATTTAAAAAAATCAATCAATCCTTATGTATAAATATAATTTGAATCAATATAAATAAAATGACATCTAAAGAGGATGAATATAGGGAGAAGATTAAAGTTTTAGATTCTAAGGATAGAGAACTTAAAGAACGAGAACGCATTCTTGAATAAAGAATTAAGGATGAGCATGATAAAATGGCTCAGGATAAAATAAAGTAAGATAAAGAACTAATTAAAAGAGAGCAGGATCTCCTAGATAAAGCTAATTCACTAGTAATTTGCCTAATGTCAATAACTGTGTATATAGGAATCTGATAAGATTATCTCTCTAGAAAACTAGATACAGTAGTTGACTCAAAAGTATGAAGTTAAATTAGCTAATCAGAGGAATGATTATGAAACTCAATTAAAAGAAAAAGATTAAATAATTGGAAAAATAAAACATATAAAATCCTCTATTGACAATGAAAATTCAGACTAAGCAACTCAATTTTAATCTGAGAAGGATGATCTTCAGATGTAGATAATGAAGTTAGAGAATTTGAACTAGCATTTAGAGAAATAATATAATGATAAATTTGAAAAAAGCTAAAATTAAATGAAAAATCTTGAATAGAGCCTCAAATAAAGCCGCGAAAGTCTCTAGGAATCAGTTATAAATAATGATAGACTTTTAAGTGAATTAAATATGCTTAAATCCAAAGTCTAGAACAAAAATAATTAAATGACATAAACTGATGAACAATAGAGTGAACTATTACAGCAATTACAGCCTTCTAATGACTTATTCATTACTCATACCCCTGATCTAGAATCTAAACCAAAGTTAGAGTAAAAATATCATATTTTAAAGAAAAAATTAAAAAAACAAAAAGAATAAAATGCAAAATATGAACTTGATATGCTTGAATTAGCTAATTTAATGGATGATATTAAGTTTTAGACTTAATAGAAATTGAACAATTAATCTGATACAGAGTCAAAACTCAGAGATCTTGAAGTCTAACTAAGCAGATCTCAATAAAATTCTAAATCTCTAACTATTTAGATTAACTAGTTAATATCTGACAAAGAGTTGTTGTAGGAAAAGCTACAAGATAAAATGACTAATGCTTCACAGCAAATAGACCCAGAATTACTTGAGGAAATTAAAGAATTAAAAGAATATAAGCATGAGATGAATAACTTATGTGAGTAGCTAAAGATTAAAATGCAAAGAAAAAAAACTAAGTTGATCTATATGAGGGAGACCCTTGATTATAAGGAGTAAGAATTACAAAAGAAAGAAATTGTGCTTAGAAAAATAAGTTAAAGCTAAGAGGAGTCATAAAAATAGCTTAAGCAAACTGCTCTAAAATTAAGATAACTTGAACAAACTAAATTGAAAGATTTAAAAAGGAAATGCTCAGCCTAAGAAGATCTAATCGTTCAACTACAGAATAGGATTAAGTAATATGTTGGAGATGCTGAATCATCATCATAATCCCCTGCCAACCGAAAGGGGTCAATGAAGAGAAACATAACTTAAAATCATAGATAAATTAAGGAAGTAGATGAAGTCCTTGAAAGTACTGGAAAGGAATTCTTTAACAGTAAACCAACAATAAATTTACATTCATTGAGCAACGAAGATATTCATGATAAAAGCAGCAGCTATGGGAGATCAAATTTACTACCAGAAATTGGTAATCAAGTGAAAAATAAAGCCCCAAATGGCTCGATTAGAAGTTCAGTTGATAAATTACCTAAAGCTAAAAAAGGTAATTCACATGGTCCTACCTATCAGGATAGTTATGAGAGATAAGTTGATAGCTTTGTAAGTAGATTAAAGGACCCAGTTTATAAAAATAATTCTAATAACATGTAAGGAGTTTTTTCTATCAATCAGAATCAATCTCACATAATCGCTGACACGAGAAGTAAGTGATATCTATTATGACGATTACTTTACAGACGAAGAAGTGACCTACGACTAGCACTCAATGGCTGGCAGGGGCACCATCTCAAGCAGGGACGACAAAATCAGGCGAATCCTCGAGGGCACTGAGCAATACGAAAAGCTTCTATACTTTACCCCTGAAAAAAGTCAACTACCTAGGAAGGTAAGCAAGCATTTACTTAAAATTAAATTATAAAGATGATCTAGAATCGTAAGAATTAGCATTAACCATTTGATGTTGGCAAAGAAAGTAGGGATTAGTAATTCCGTAATAGAAATATTATTAATAAGTGAGTTTAGATTTAATATTAAAGCTTGTTAAATTAAAAAAATCATTCAGTAAGTTGAAATTAAGATAAAGCTTTATTATCACAATTTATATAATTTATAAGTATTTAATATCTGTAATCTCATGAAATTCTTATTTAAGCGCTCAATAATGACTTTCATCATCCTCATCCTCATCTTTTATACAATAGTTTACTCTCCTATTTCGCTTCCTCAGCACTCTTTCAGTCTTCAAGTCAACCCTTAGATACTTACTGGCAGGATCTTTTTTCAATTTTTCTCTTTTTTACTTTTATTTTGGGTGAGGATAATTACCTTAGCTATCGATATCCATAAATGAACTCTTAGTGGTTGTATTTGAGGATGCTGAATATATTTAATCTTATATGCTTATTTCAGCCATACTTATATTCCCTGAACAAGGCTCACTTGAGCAAGAAACAGAATCATTGACTATGAATTATTTTTATCTACGTTAGCGAGTTCCCTTAGTCATCTTGAAATTTTGATCTACTGCTGAAAATAAGCCACATCCAGATGCTGCAGTTTAAGTTAAGCCAAAATTTATATTTTCTTGATTTAGTGTCATTAGACTAGAGAGAAGACCTGATGTGTGTTAAATTTATTGAGAATTATGAACAAAAGAATCTTCATTGTAGGGGTAAGTATCTGTAAACTGATTAACACTTTACAAATTAATTTACTATCTTCTTTCAAGCTCATACTTACTTGGTCTACCTCTTCTACGCTTTTATTAAGACTAATCAATGATTGCAGGTTAAATTTAGGAGAATTAGGGAACATGATATCCTCTATTAAACCTTTTATTATATAAAACCAATTCTCTTATCTCAGACTCACTTACTTCGCTTATTTCATCAACTTCATCTTAATATATTTACTCAAACTCGACAATTTACTAGTCATTCTATAACTTAATAAGTTTCAATTACTTTTGCTTCTCAATTGATACTGAATCATTTTAATCCTATTAATTCAAAATTTCGAGTTTTTTCTTCATTTCTTTAATCAAGCTGAAATTCTCCACTTCAAATAATTTTTCATTTGCTATGTCATTCAGTTTATCTTTTTGAGATAAGCATTATGCTGGTACATTTATTCCATAGAAGATGTTATATTTTACTTCTTATTCTTTAATTTTCTTGATCCTTTATTATAGCCTGTCAAATTTTGCCTTAAATGCCTTCTCAACTCCATTCATATATAAAAGAAATCTAGTATCATCGTTATCATAAAGAGTTTTGAGAAATCATTGATGTTTAAATAGCAAAGGGCCTCTCTTTGTGAGTGCTCTAACTTCTTTTGATAATTTAATCCTGTTATGTATCCTATATTACTCATCCTCTTAATTATAAAGGAGTGCGGTCGTAATAGCATCATCAATATGTTCTTAATACCAAGACTTTGGGGCGTTTGATTCGTCTTTGATGATGTTAAAATACTTCTTAGGTGTTGTATTACTAGTACTAATCTGATTATTTATATTGACTTAATTATTTTGGTTTTAATTTGAGGCTTCTATTTGTGTGCTACTATTATTTACTTCGCTTTCTATTTTTATTATGTTATTCAGAGTTGTTTGAACAAATTAGGTTGATTCTGTTTTAACTACAGTAAATTTAGTAGTTGTTGCAATTGAAGGAGTTGTTATTTTTTTAGTCTTGCATTTTCCTTTTTACTTTTGATTTTTTCCATCTAATTGCTTGTTATCCTCTTTATTTTAGCTTTTATTATTAGTATCAATTTTATCTTCATTTGTTTAGTTCTTTGATATTTAGAGTAGATTACTCAAGTCTATGTCTTATTACGGTTTATTATGAATTTTTTCTTTCTTTTTTTCACTTCTTGTTCATTTTAAAATAGGTTTTGTCTAAGTTTTTTTTCCATCAAATTACCCTCATTTATTTTATTTTTAACCTTGTGTCATTGTCATTACTAAGCAAGATAATTAGCTTTTTTATCAAGTTGCTACACTTAATTTTTCTAAAGTGGCATTTGTTAATTTACGATTTTTTTGCCTTTGCGGATAGGTTTGTTTAATTACTATTTTTTCTTGCTATAATTAATCATAATTGAGCCATCAATTGACTAATTTTTATCAAGGAAACCCATAGCACTCATGTCCTTATCTTACTATTTTTCATTGAATAAGTCCTATTAAAACTACTGCACTCTTGTCTGATCCTCATCAAATTCATTATTATTTTCATAGTTAGACGTATTTAAATTATTCACATCATTATTCTAATTCATGAAGTTGCCATCAATATTATTAGGCTGATGATGATTATTTTAAGATGCACCCCCTATTATTTAAGGTGACATCAAATCTGAAGATCTTAATTAGTCGTATTTAAGGTCATCGCCTTTGTCAAGTTTTATATCAATTACTTTAATAGTTGAGAAATCCTGGACATTCATCTTTAATACTTCTCCATTTTTTATATTATTCTTAATATTCCCATATAATCTATGCTTATAGACATTATATTTCTTGTAAAATGAGTAGATTATGAAATTGAAATACCCATCAAGAAAAAAAAGAGCGAATGAATTGAAAATGAAAGTCTAAAATGGCATCTTTTTCAATCCAGCCATTACTCCATTTAAGATTAGCAGAGTAATATCCCATACTATCCTGACAATCAAGTATTTTTTTAGGTGAACTTATTGGATATTCTTACACAAAGTAATGATGCCAACGATGGCTCTTACTACTAAAAACGCAGCTGAAGCTACATCAGTGAATGCCTAGGAAGCATGCTCCCTTTCTGCAAAGTAACTTAGAGTGCTGGCACTTGTGGTTATCACGAAAAGAGCGTAAAGACTGTCCCAGATAACAATCCCTAGAATCCCATCTTCGATTCTAAAGCCAAAGCAACAATTCTTAGCCAAATACTTGTGCTTCCAGTCTTTTTTAGCCGTCTTTGTTGTCATATATATTTTTCCGATTTTATTCTGGATTTCTATCAAATTATAAATGCTTTTGATTATAGAATCTAAATTTTCATTCTCATGAAATACTGGCATTAAGGGGTTTTGGGGTTTTGGGGGGATTCCTTACCTTATCCATGTTGAAGATCTTATCTCCA